CGCTGTGGCGCAGTTTACTGACTCGGCTATAGCTCGGCGAAACCAATATTCCAATTGTTATTGCTGCTTGCTGTGCGCTCCAAAATATCTGTGAGAGTAAGGGGGGAGACATTTATGGCGGGATGGGAGGTTGAGGCAAATCGCCTGGCCGCTGATTACGCGCAGCCAGAGACCAGGGCAGTTAGAAGAGTACAGCAGGGCGCGGTATACATCAGAGAAGCTTTGAAAACCAGTTTTGTGACTGGCCAGGCTACGGTGTGAAACTTCTGTTTGTTTCTCCTTGATGAACCTCCCCCACACCCCCGGTTCACTCTACTTCCCTGTAAGCTAACCACCCTCCCCTCCCCCCTTCGAGCACCGCTTGCAGAGGCAATAAAGTCATTGTTACTTCACATTCATACATTCTTTATTAATTCATCACGCAGCTAGGGGGATAACTGCCAAGGTAGCCCGGGAGGGGTGGAGGAGGAGTGAAGGACAAGGACACACTGCAGTTTAAAACTTTAAAACTTTAACTCTTATTGAAGGCCAGCCTTCTGATGCTTGGGCAATCATCTGGGGTGGAGTGGCCGGAGGGCCCCCCCCCACCCCGTTCTTGGGCGTCTGGGTGAGGAGGCTATGGAACTTGGGGAGGAGGGCTGTTGATTACACAGGGGCTGTAGCGGTGGTCTCGGCTCCTGCTGCCTTTCCTGCAGCTCAGCCATATGCTGGAACATATCAGTTTGATGCTTCAGCAGCCGGAGCATCGACTCTTGCCTTCTGTCAGCAATCTAATGCCCCCTATCCTCTTCAGCCCGCGATTCAGGCCACCGTCTCCCCTCTCGTTCATATTATGCTTATTAGCACTCTGACATTGACTGCCTCCGTGCGTTCTGGTGGGGACTGTCGGGGGGGGAGGACATCTGCATCTCCGAGAAAGTATCACCCCGAGTCTGCCGTTTTCTCCTTCTAATCTTCACTAGCCTCTGAGAAGGAGAAACATTTGCAGCTGGTGGAGGAGAAGGGAGA